CCAACAGCTCCTTATGTCCGTTAGTGCAGCTAGCTAACCAGATGCTAACAACACGGTCCCTGCTGCTGGCACCAGTCCCTCTCTCTCTCTCTCTCTCTCTCTCTCTCTCTCTCTCTCTCTCTCTCTCTCTCTCTCTCTCTCTCTCTCTCTCTCTCTCACACACACTAAATGTGCTATGTCCGCACACACACACAAACAGCCGAGTTTGAATGACACAAGCACACTTTTATTTCCATGCAACTCTCTGATTGGTCTGGTGTCTTGCCTCTGTTGCATTCACTGAACACGGGAAATTACAGTCCTGCCGTCCTCTCGAGTGTCATGATGAGGTTCACGTAAAACACGGTTAATGTATTATATTATGGAGGTAGAATTGTCCGGGGCTACAGAAAAAACAATCGGGGCAGGCCAAAATATTATTTTACCAACAATGTGGAATTTATTGGCTACATATCACACAGATTATGCACAGCGGGAGCAGCAATAACCGTCAAATAATAATTCAGACAGGGGAGCTCCGCACCCCCTGCCTGCCGCTAGGGGGTGCTGCAGCGCCCTCAGCACCCCCCTTCCCGCGCCCATGGTCCAGCTCCACTCACTGACCTGAATGATATACATCATGTTTAACAAGAGCATCATCTCCTGACTGAGAGATGTGTGATAAGCTCAACCTGGAATATCAGACACATATATGACTATACTATTAATGTTAAGATCAAAAGTTTTAGCGTAACAAATGTAGCGTAAACAGTTAAAGAACGTCTTCTCTGTAAATGAGCTTCTCTCCTGAGTCAGAATAATGTTTGCAGATTTCCTAAAGCTCTAATCTTTAACAGAGTATATGAACACAAGTCACCTGTTAATGTGTCTCATCGTGTACTAGGTAGCATGTATGATTCCTATCTCCTGAGGACCTGCAGGATGGAGTCAGAACAAACGTCCTCACAGGGACAATCACGTTTATCGTATCATAAATCTACGTTCACGAAACACGGTAAACAGCTCTGTGCTGACTTTGTGTTTCTGTTGTTGAGCGCTGCGATCGACATTTTAATTATTTCAACTTTGACCTCGTTTAACGCTGAACTTTCAATGCACATCCAATCAGAACAGCTGTGCTAAGAGGCACAAGCTATCAGAGGAAGAAACTCAGAAACTGAACTTAACTGTTTTCACCACAAAGCTCTGCCAACAACCTGCAATTAGAAAAGAGCAAATCATGTGAATGCAGATTAATAGTTATCAAAATTGTTTGAAATGTCAGATGATGATGGGAAACTGAGTCTTTTATTGTCAGGGCTTCCTGGGTTTTGATTTAATCTTAAACACGATATAACAACCATTTTCAAGAAAAGAGACGAGCAAACGGCATCAAAATATTTCATTTATGAAGCTGTTTATCATCTGTTGTTTCTTTTATGTTCCCAGGTGCAGCTTCAGAGCCACATGTCACAATTCTTGAAGAAACTAAGGACTGGTCTCTGCTTCAGTGTGAGGTTCTTGGAGCTTTCCCTAAACCTCTCCTCCAGTGGACGGACAGTTCTGGAAACACGGTCCCTGCTGCAGAGCCTCAGGTCTCAGAGAGAGGAGGCAGCTACGACGTGACCCTCCAGACTACTGTGAGAAAGACAGACAACTACAGCTGTGTGGCTTCACAGGAGGAGATCAAGAGTAAACCTGCACACATCTACGTGTCTCTCAGTGGTGAGAAGATTCTCCCTACATTATTCTCTCTTTGTGTGATTTAATGTTTTAAATGTGTCTTCAGTCTGAACACAAAGTGAATATCCTCTGAGCTCCAGACGTTGTGATGAAGACCTCTGCAGGAGTTAACATGGTTTCAATCTGAGTGGAAACTTTAATCTGAAACTCTGAGCCTCCTCTTCATGAAAGAGATGAGAGGAAGACTGAGAGAGGCTGAGATAATCAAGACACACACACACACACACACACACACACACACACACACACACACACACACACACATACACTGTAAACCCCTCCAACAGCTCCACTCTCAGATCAAATGAAGACAAACAGGAACTCTGAGTTCAGTCTGAATTCAGCTTTCTTAGAAACATGTTAGTCATTGATCACTGAGACGTTCTACAGCTGAGAGGAAACATGTTAGTCATTGATCACTGAGACGTGCTGCAGCTGAGAGGAAACATGTTAGTCATTGATCACTGAGACGTTCTACAGCTGAGAGGAAACATGTTAGTCATTGATCACTGAGACGTTCTACAGCTGAGAGGAAACATGTTAGTCATTGATCACTGAGACTTTCTACAGCTGAGAGGAAACATGTTAGTCATTGATCACTGAGACGTTCTGCAGCTGAGAGGAAACATGTTAGTCATTGATCACTGAGACGTTCTGCAGCTGAGAGGAAACATGTTAGTCATTGATCACTGAGACGTTCTGCAGCTGAGAGGAAACATGTTAGTCATTGATCACTGAGACGTTCTACAGCTGAGAGGAAACATGTTAGTCATTGATCACTGAGACGTTCTACAGCTGAGAGGAAACATGTTAGTCATTGATCACTGAGACGTTCTACAGCTGAGAGAGGAAACATGTTAGTCATTGATCACTGAGACGTTCTACAGCTGAGAGGAAACATGTTAGTCATTGATCACTGAGACGTTCTACAGCTGAGAGGAAACATGTTAGTCATTGATCACTGAGACGTTCTACTGCTGAGAGGAAACATGTTAGTCATTGATCACTGAGATGTTCTACAGCTGAGAGGAAACATGTTAGTCATTGATCACTGAGACGTTCTACAGCTGAGAGGAAACATGTTAGTCATTGATCACTGAGATGTTCTACAGCTGAGAGGAAACATGTTAGTCATTGATCACTGAGACGTTCTGCAGCTGAGAGGAAACATGTTAGTCATTGATCACTGAGACGTTCTACAGCTGAGAGGGAAACATGTTAGTCATTGATCACTGAGACGTTCTGCAGCTGAGAGGAAACATGTTAGTCATTGATCACTGAGACGTTCTACAGCTGAGAGGAAACATGTTAGTCATTGATCACTGAGACGTTCTGCAGCTGAGAGGAAACATGTTAGTCATTGATCACTGAGACGTTCTACAGCTGAGAGGAAACATGTTAGTCATTGATCACTGAGACGTTCTGCAGCTGAGAGGAAACATGTTAGTCATTGATCACTGAGACGTTCTACAGCTGAGAGGAAACATGTTAGTCATTGATCACTGAGACGTTCTGCAGCTGAGAGGAAACATGTTAGTCATTGATCACTGAGACGTTCTGCAGCTGAGAGGAAACATGTTAGTCATTGATCACTGAGACGTTCTGCAGCTGAGAGGAAACATGTTAGTCATTGATCACTGAGACGTTCTGCAGCTGAGAGGAAACATGTTAGTCATTGATCACTGAGACGTTCTACAGCTGAGAGGAAACATGTTAGTCATTGATCACTGAGACGTTCTACAGCTGAGAGGAAACATGTTAGTCATTGATCACTGAGACGTTCTACAGCTGAGAGGAAACATGTTAGTCATTGATCACTGAGACGTTCTACAGCTGAGAGGAAACATGTTAGTCATTGATCACTGAGACGTTCTACAGCTGAGAGGAAACATGTTAGTCATTGATCACTGAGACGTTCTACCTGAGAGGGAAACATGTTAGTCATTGATCACTGAGATGTTCTACAGCTGAGAGGAAACATGTTAGTCATTGATCACTGAGACGTTCTACAGCTGAGAGGAAACATGTTAGTCATTGATCACTGAGATGTTCTACAGCTGAGAGGAAACATGTTAGTCATTGATCACTGAGACGTTCTACAGCTGAGAGGAAACATGTTAGTCATTGATCACTGAGATCGTTCTACAGCTGAGAGGAAACATGTTAGTCATTGATCACTGAGACGTTCTGCAGCTGAGAGGAAACATGTTAGTCATTGATCACTGAGACGTTCTACAGCTGAGAGGAAACATGTTAGTCATTGATCACTGAGACGTTCTGCAGCTGAGAGGAAACATGTTAGTCATTGATCACTGAGACGTTCTACAGCTGAGAGGAAACATGTTAGTCATTGATCACTGAGACGTTCTGCAGCTGAGAGGAAACATGTTAGTCATTGATCACTGAGACGTTCTACAGCTGAGAGGAAACATGTTAGTCATTGATCACTGAGACGTTCTACAGCTGAGAGGAAACATGTTAGTCATTGATCACTGAGACGTTCTGCAGCTGAGAGGAAACATGTTAGTCATTGATCACTGAGATGTTCTACAGCTGAGAGGAAACATGTTAGTCATTGATCACTGAGACGTTCTACAGCTGAGAGGAAACATGTTAGTCATTGATCACTGAGACGTTCTGCAGCTGAGAGGAAACATGTTAGTCATTGATCACTGAGACGTTCTACAGCTGAGTGGAAACATGTTAGTCATTGATCACTGAGACGTTCTGCAGCTGAGAGGAAACATGTTAGTCATTGATCACTGAGACGTTCTACAGCAGAGAGGAAACATGTTAGTCATTGATCACTGAGACGTTCTACAGCTGAGAGGAAACATGTTAGTCATTGATCACTGAGACGTTCTACAGCTGAGAGGAAACATGTTAGTCATTGATCACTGAGACGTTCTACAGCTGAGAGGAAACATTGAGACCACGTTCACTTTCTCTCAGAGTTCATTCGCTGGCTTTAAACACAGGGAGACTTTGAGGACAGAAGACATGGAGACGTGTCGTGCAGCTCGACTCCAACATCAACACAAGCTGAGGGTCTGATCTGAGTATCAGCTGCTGTTAGAGACGTGACATCAGAGAGCTGGGTTTGAGTCTAGAGGCTCAGGAGTCAGATCCAACTCCACCAGGATCTCATCAGGCTCTAACCAGCTATCAGGTTCAGATGGTTGGAGGAAACATTACCAATAAATGATGTGTATTTTGTTTCCAGTGTTTCCTCTCTTATTGTTCCCAATCACTCTGACATGCTTTCTTTTGTATTTTAGGAGAAGAACCAGAGAGGAGATCAGGTTAGTCCTGATTTTAACTAATCTAATATTTAACTTTAAGCTCACAAAACTATAACTGTGTTAGACTTGATTCTTTGGGAATGTGTGTAGAGCCCTGAGTCTTTCCCTCAGTGTGTCCACGTGTCCTCAGAGCAGAATCTGTACATGTTCTTTAGAGAGTTTTCTGAATGAGTGAAAGCAGCCGTGTGTCAAACTCAATTTCATCTCGGGCCACATCAGCATTATGGTTGCACTCAAAGGGCCGGTTGTAACTTTAAGACTATATAAAAATACATATATAAATATTTTAATATATATAAACGTATGTATTATATTACATTATTGCCTCTGCATTGGATTATTATGGGATAGAGTAATAACATCATAATTAACTACGTCTGAAAGCAGAAGTCTAGGGCAATAATTGGAAGTCTCTTCAGTGAGAATGTCACAAAATGATTTTTTTTTTTTTTAAAAAAAGCCATATTCTGGAGAAAATGTAAAAAATAATGTGAAATGTTGAAGCAAAAAAAAGTCAAATTCTGAGCAAAATTCATATTTGAGATGCATTGTGGGACATGTAGTTTATGGGCCACGTGCTTCTGTAAATCGGCATGTGACCGTATAATAAACGTATTATATTCTTTCAGAGCTCTTGTGGGGCCACAGAAAATGTAATCGCGGGCCGGATTTGGCCCCCGGGCCTTGAGTTTGAGACCCCTGAGTGAAAGTGTGCTTGTGTTTGGAGGCTCTGCTGCATAAACCCAGAGTGAGTTCCCCTCTGTGGAAACATCAGGATGTGAATCTGCTCTCACTGAGCTGCAGTCAGGGAGGAGGACGCTCTGTAGTTCAGGAGGAGGAGCAGAACCTCTCTGTAGAAACACTCTAAGTACACTTTAGTCATTAGAGAATAAACTAGCATCACATGTTAGAAGATGATCACATGTCTAAATGTGTAGGATCAGAGGGACTTCATCTCTCAGATAGATGCAGTGAAACACTGAATATATTGCTCTCTGATGTGATTTGGAGTATGCATCAAACTAAATGGACATGCTCGTAATTTGTAGAGGAAAGAGAGCTCAGCTTCAGATGTTCTCTGACTGAGAGCTTTAATCTGATGAGAACAACATGCTCTGACCGTCTGAGTGACATGAACCTTTCTCTTTAGGGTCGATCACTGGATGGATTATTCTTTCTGCAGTTCTCGGCGCTGTTTTATTTGTAGTTCTCGTGGTTCTTGTTGTTGGAGGTATTGTTGTAGTTCGGGTTGTATCCAAGGATCGCAACAAACTAAACCAACTTAACGGTAGGTTTAAATAATGTTTATATCAACAGATTCAACATCATTTGTATTATTAATTGCTGGTATTTACACCCAGAGCATCCTAAAGTCAGGTGGGGTCTTCTTGAATATCATTTTGTTTTCCTTCCTGCAGAAAAGATAGAGAAGCTTGAAGATGATCAGAAGAAGACTTCCTCCCAAGACACGCTTCCTGCAGATTCTGTAGCTGATCCTCCTGAGAATAAAATCCTGCTGGAGTCGGATCAGTGAGTCTGAAAGGTCACCGGGTTCACCTGTGCTGAGGTGTGTTCACACTGTACTGTGTCATATGTGAGGACATGTGATCTGCTCCTCATTAATTTCAGAGAGTTAAGAGCTGGTTAAGGGTTCACAGGTCAAATATCAAACTCCTGTCAATTGCAAACATTTCAGTTGAAGAAAACTTTAAGAAAACTTGAAGTAAGAGTAAAATCATGTAATCCTGTATAAAACTACATTCTGATCCTCAGCTGTGAAACTCCTGCATGCGGTCAGTTAGTCCTCAGCTTCTGTCCTTCAGAGAGTGAACGGATGAATGAGGACATTTTAACAGCTCCATAGTTGTAGTCCTTTAACAGCTCCATAGTTGTAGTCCTTTAACAGCTCCATAGTTGTAGTCCTTTAACAGCTCCATAGTTGTAGTCCTTTAACAGCTCCATAGTTGTAGTCCTCTAACAGCTCCATAGTTGTAGTCCTTTAACAGCTCCATAGTTGTAGTCCTTTAACAGCTCCATAGTTGTAGTCCTTTAACAGCTCCATAGTTGTAGTCCTCTAACAGCTCCATAGTTGTAGTCCTTTAACAGCTCCATAGTTGTAGTCCTTTAACAGCTCCATAGTTGTAGTCCTTTAACAGCTCCATAGTTGTAGTCCTCTAACAGCTCCATAGTTGTAGTCCTTTAACAGCTCCATAGTTGTAGTCCTTTAACAGCTCCATAGTTGTAGTCCTCTAACAGCTCCATACTTGTAGTCCTTTAACAGCTCCATAGTTGTAGACCTCTAACAGCTCCATAGTTGTAGTCCTTTAACAGCTCCATACTTGTAGTCCTTTAACAGCTCCATAGTTGTAGTCCTTTAACAGCTCCATACTTGTAGTCCTTTAACAGCTCCATAGTTGTAGTCCTCTAACAGCTCCATAGTTGTAGTCCTTTAACAGCTCCATAGTTGTAGACCTCTAACAGCTCCATAGTTGTAGTCCTTTAACAGCTCCATAGTTGTAGTCCTTTAACAGCTCCATAGTTGTAGACCTCTAACAGCTCCATAGTTGTAGTCCTTTAACAGCTCCATAGTTGTAGACCTCTAACAGCTCCATAGTTGTAGTCTTTAACAGCTCCATAGTTGTAGTCCTCTAACAGCTCCATAGTTGTAGTCCTCTAACAGCTCCATAGTTGTAGTCCTTTAACAGATCCATACTTGTAGTCCTTTAACAGATGCTCTCCTGCTGCTTGTAGTTCTTAAAGGATGTAGAGACGGCATTAACAGGAACTCTCTCTGATCTGAAGCTGCTGTCTCGCTGTAAAGAAATGTTCTCTGAAGCTGGAATATAATGTGACTTATTTTATACTTTTGTATTGTACATAGTTTGTTACGAGCTTGTTGTTTGTGATCAGCTGAATGATGACCTGCTGTTACTGTGATGCTTGAACTGTTTTTATTATATCTAAATATGTGTTAATGTTGATCTCTGATGCACTGCAGGGTTTATCCCGTGATTAAAGCTTTAACATTTATGTTTGAATAAAACATCCTCTGAGCTTCTGATGACTTGAATGATTTATGGCACTCACATTAACTCATTTTAGTCTTGACCTAAGATTTCCATTGTCATAACTGCACTGTAGCTATAACGTACAAATGACAATAAAAGCCTTGAATCTAGAATATATTTTTACATATATTATGTTTTAATGTACACACGGTTTAACTCCACAAAAGAAGGGCTGTAAAGTCTCCTCCGTCTCCTACACCTTCTTTACTCTGACCACAACCACACATCTGTGAAGAGTCATGATGACTATCTGCTATCATTGTAACAGATGTGTCCAGAAACATGAGCACCTGGAAAAGTATACCTTAAAAGTCCTCTGGTAGTTCCTGCTACAGGAGCACATTTTGAAGACACACACAGACTCACAAACATTACCAGGCTGAGGTGATGGGGAATAATGGGAGTTATCAATCTCTCTATTTACTGTATCACGTGACTGGGATCATATGACTGGGATCAGAGCCCTAGAGAGATAATTAGTATCTCTAGGGCTCTGACTGGGATGATACAGTGTCATGGCACACCTTCTGTAGCCTGCACATTCACGGTCTCTGGCACCACCCAGTGGTTTTTGCTGCAACAACAATTAAGGGACAGGAACTTTATTTCATTTTGATATGTTTAAGATCTGTATACCAAACCTGGATGTTTTATTAAGTCTGTAGAATACTGCTTGCAGGCTGGGACCTGCTCGAATAACAGAAATATTGTGGGTTACCATGGGGACGTTACCCGCACATTTTCGTAAAGCAAAAAAACATTTTATTTTTTGTTTGCTGTATGTTGTTTGTATTTTATCAACACCAAGTTACATTCTTGAATGTTACAATGAGCCTTTTGTGTTTGTAAAAGAATTGTCAAAAAAAAAAACTGGTTTTGAAAATCGATAGACGAGCATTTATTTTATGTATTTCTTACTTACCTCATGTCTACCCCCGATGAACACATATGATGTTAATTATGTCCTTGAATAAAAAATAGTAAACAACACCCATGGACGATAATCATGTTTAACCCTTCTCTTGCGTTTCGGGACAAAAGTGACCGAATGACTTTTGTTTTAATCATAAATATTGTGTTTTTCATCCAATTGCCTCAATACCTTTTGTTATCCTCCACACTAGGCCTCTGAACATACACACTTGATGATCACCACTTGCATTGCATTTTGAGTGATTTATTCAACAGTGAAACACCCTTGATGTTTTCGGTCAGAATTGACCGCCATATAAAATGAATGGGTATGAGTGTATTATATTCATCCTGCAGATGGAAAACATCTATAATTCTATATACACACACACACAAACACGTTACGGGAACCTCTCCCTTTCTCGTGCTGTATGATACAATGTATCATACCTTCTCATAGGTGCGAGCTCTGTGCCCCTCGAGAAACACAAACCTCTCACTTTCTCGCACTAAATGCGCCTCCCTTACTGTCTCTCAAGCAGGTATATTTGTGCCTTGCTCACATTTGACTCATTGACACAATGAGCAAGCGACCGATTAGGCGATTTTCTGTACGAGGGGCTCTGGACACATTTTTTGAACCAGATGAAGAGGAGATAGAGGAAGATGTCACAGAAATGGAAGGCAACAGCGATCCAGACTATGAGCCTACAACAGACCAGGAAGAGGCCCCTGAGGGAGAGGCCCCTGAGATAGAGGCCCCTGAGGGAGAGGCCCCTGAGATAGAGGAGCCTGAGGTGACATTCCACAATTTTGCATTGCCAACTATGTGCGTGAACACACGCACACACACACACACACACACACACGTTCTGATATGGTATATTTCTCTTTCAATAAACGTTCATTGAGGAAAACAGTATCAGTGTCTTATTTTATATTCATCACAGTGAATGCTGATCTTGATGGGCCCACCGGTGGGTCCGGACCATGACATGAAACACTGGCTTGCTTGTATCAAATCAATACATCCCATACATCATTGTAACGGGAAGAATCTCAGCTACAACACTAACTAAAGCATTCCAATCTCCAGTAGACACAGCCTACATGGTAAGCATTTTTATAATATACAGTAATGTAAAATAAGCACTATCTTTGAACTTACTGCCAAAAATAATATGAAATTCACCCCTGGTGTCATTATGTCTGTCATCGATTCTACTTGCTTTGACTGTTCAAATGAGATGTCAACCATCAAAATTGGATAAGGGGTTCCAGAGATATTACTGTGCAAAACACACCAGTCTATTTTGACCAAAAATAGCATGGGAAGGGGAGTATGACCTAACGCAAGAGAAGGGTTAAACTTGACACTGTTAACCACAACATATTACTAGACCGACTGGAAAACTGGGTGGGACTTTCGGAAACAGTTCTAAATTGGTTTGAATCCTACTTAAAGGACAGAAACAACTTTGTTTCTATAGGTAAATACACATCTGAGTTGACAAATATGACATGTGGGGTTCCTCAAGGCTCCATCTTGGGGCCTCTTCTCTTTAACATCTACATGCTACCACTGGCTCAGATAATGAAGAACAACCAAATAAGTTACCATAGCTATGCAGATGACACACAAATGTACGTAACAATTTCACCAGGAGACTATGCTCCAATTCAAACACTGAGTAAGTGCATTGAACAAATCAATGACTGGATGTGTCAGAACTTTCTCCAATTAAACAAAGATAAAACTGAGGTAATGGTTTTTGGAGCCAAGGCAGAACGTATAAAAGTTAGCGCTGAGCTTCAGTCTGCAATGTTCAAAACAACAGATAAAGCCAACAATCTAGGTGTAGTCATGGACTCTGACCTGAGTTTCAACAGTCACATTAAAACTGTTACTAAATCAGCCTACTATCACCTAAAGAATATATCTAGGATTAAAAGACTAATGTCACAGCAGGATTTGGAAAAACTTGTCCATGCTTTTATCTTCAGTAGACTGGACTACTGCAATGGTGTCTTCACAGGTCTCACTAAAAAATCTATTACACTCAAAGAAATAACTCTTTGAATGAACGTAATTAAATCATGGACAATATTTCCACATGATTAAATCACTTTCTTTCAAGATTAAGCAATTTGATTGGTCCAACTTAATTTACTTGAGTTGGGTCAACGTAATCTATTAGGATTGATACTACTTATTTATAAGGTTTGTTACCAACTTAATTTACTTGAGTTGGGTCAACGTAATCTATTAGGATTGATACTACTTATTTATAAGGTTTGTTACCAACTTGATTTACTTGGGTTGGGTCAACGTAATCTATTAGGATTGATACTATTTATGTATAAGGTTTGTTACGAACTTGATTGACCTGGGTTGGGTCAACGTAATTGCTTAAAGCTGAAAGAAAGCCATTTCATCATGTGGAAATACTGTCCATGATTTAATCAAGTTCATTCAAAGAATAACTTTTGAGTGTTTACACATTTAAAACGTTTAGAGTGAACAGTAACAGAAATTCAACAGTCTAGTGAGCTTCAAGGGTGGAAATATAACACAAACGCAAGATGTCTAAGTATGCAGATTAGAGAACATGCAATACCAAAAGACCATTAAGAACACCATCTCAACCAACAAGCAGACTGGGTTTCACTGTATTAAATATAACAGTGAATATATATTTCACAAAATAGCTTTACACTGACAGATGCTTGAAAAAACACAGTTTCTTCCCAAATATTAAAATGTTTCAACTTTAGGGTGAACAGTATAACAAACTTGAGTTTCGACAGTAGACCAAATAAGGCAACATGGTAACATCTGCCTCCTCGCACAGCCCTCTGCTCAGTGAGGTCCACGTAACCATGCTACAGCCAACTTTGAATGCTTACTTTTATACTTCTTGCATATAATCAACATTTCTGTCAAAGAGGTGAGTCACCGAATCTCTGATGGCTGCGTGTTTGGAAGATGAGGCGATCCCAAACAGTGACATTAGGCACGGGAAAGCAATGTTTTGAGGACTTGTCCTTTTGTGGATAGTCTGTTTCCATCTAGTTCCATCATTATTTTCTGCAGTGCTTCAAATGTAAACTTCAGCTCTGGAGGGTAGCTCAAGTTTAGAGCATACACGAGAGCAAACATCATCGCCACCGCAAAAGATACGTTTCCCAACTCATCCAGCACTTCGACCCCCTCCAGAATGATCCCAACGTTCTCGGGGTCATCCCCAGGCTCTGCACCTTCGTGTCGAATGACAAATATTCCGAAGACCGTCTCTGCCATTGCCGTTTGACTGCTGTTGTCGATGCTCTGTGAAAAACAAATAAGGAGAGTGATTTTCACTGATGTGCATTACATCCCATTTCTATAATCTGTCATATTGAGTTTTATGTAGTTTGGGTTTTCCAAATTGAAAAAAAAAGAAAGAACAAAAAACACTGTTTCCAAAAAGCATGAACACATCCAACATCATCAAAATGTAAAGGCAACATTTCCCTAAGGGTTAGTTTTAGAAGAAACACAATCCATTCCAACTATGATCATCCTCCTCTTTGTGAAGATAAAAAAGGTACATCAACATACCATGTATTCCTTCACCAGCTTCTCTGGATCTTCATTGAAGTAGACACAAAGACCTTTGAGGATGCATTCGCGTCTCACGTCAATGCTGTCAGTCTAAGTATGCAGGTCAGAGAACATGCAATAAAAAAGCCCATTAAGAACAACAAGCAGTCTGGGTTTCACCGTTTCACAAATGTTTTCTTTAAAACCCTGAATGTAATATTGCACTTTAATTAAATGGGTTTAGTTTGGACAGATAATATACTATGCAATTTAAGCAATACATTTTTCTAAAAAAGGAAAACAATTAGTCTTATTTTGAATATTTAAAATGGCTTTTTATTGAAGAAATACTTTTGCTTTAAAAAGGTCATCTGTTTCCAATTACTCGATTAATCAATGGAATAATTGATAGAATACTCGATTACTAAAATAACTGATAGCTGCAGCCCTACAGTACACTCTGACCATTGGGGTAGGAACATCTGCCATTTCCATGAAAGACTGCTGGACAGCTTTGTAGTGCGTTATTTTAGGCCTTCATAATAGTATGCCGCTCACTCTGATACAATGACCCCCACTGGGGGAATGGATGTGGTGCTAAGTATCAAAAAAAGATCGAAAACATAATGCTCCGGATGCTATGCTATTCATGGAACATCCTAGACTTTGTACAGCTCCTACAGTTTCTTTGTCACCTTTACATTGTTTTCATACCTGGGTTATGGGAAGCATGATGCTTTTGATCTTCTTCCCTTGAACTCCACCTTTCTTGGTATACACGTCGATCAGGCTTGTAGAGTGAATATCCAGCGAAGAGAAGAACTTGGATTGCAAATTAATTGTTGTGATTCTCTTAAATTCTGCATTCACCTACAACAAAAAAACAAAACCCACAAAACTCAGATTGGCTATTTTGATGTCACTGTTCACAGGTTTGATTTAGCAGTTCAGTCCGTTTAAGACATGCAATTGCATAAATCATGTATTTATTTATGATTCCTGCATACAAATGCCACTGTACATACAAAATTCAGAATTTGTCAATATGTCTTTTATATGGCACATACTGTGCAGTCCGTAAGCATTCATTGTCTACTATATATATCCCAATAAAAGTAAAAAGGGGACGTTCCTTCACACATTCATTCACTTACCTCACGCACATGGAAGAGAGCCGGCCACCTGGTTTTGAAATCGGCTATCAATGGTGCCTGCCGAACAACCTCTTGCCTTCTGCATGCAAAGGTCTTTTCCATCAATGTTGCCACCTTGTCCTCATTATTCCTTTGTATTACTTCTGAGAGAAGGGTCACTCTTAACTTTTCAAGCGTCTCTGCCGTTTCCCCGGATGGGTAGGTGGGTCACCTCTGCTTTTTTCGGCTTTTTCACACCATAGGCAGGACTGCATTTGCCATCAGGTTTGTGTTTTAGGGCATTTACTACAACTTCGGGGCATTCAAGCCGCCTAAGCTTTGTTCGGTAGTTAGCAAGTTTATATTTCAAGCTCGTCTTCCATCCGCCATATCCAGTGAAAGAACCGGGTTCTTTCAAACATGGATGTGATGAGGCAAGAGCTTTTGCTACCTCCTCAAACTCACTGTCAGAGAGGTAGACTTTGTACTCTATAATCTTCTCAGCTAAGCCATCAAGAATGGCAGATTTAAGTTTGTTGTCAGGACTCAACAATGTTCCGTCCGTTTTGAAAGTAGCGTTGGCCCTGTCCAGCTGTAGTTCAGTGTCTTAAGAGAACCGGGGCACAATGAAGACAGGGGGCCATCCAGATGATCTTGACGTGGACTCAGGAGAAGACAGTATGTCAGTATTGACGGAGCTTCCAGATGAGAGAGATAAGGAGTCATTTAGACAGCGGGAAGTGGCAGCAGCTGAGTAGGGAGGGGGCAGGGAGACAACAGGCTGTGCAGGTGCAACTGATGTAAAGATGACCTTGATGGAACTTCTGTCCTGGACATCTGATGTTGACAGCAAGTTGGTGAATTCATTCCCAAACTCAGCATCCATGAATTGGAGCCTGAATTCCCCTTCTATTCCACACTGCCTCTTAATTTGCTGTGAGTTCAGTGACAGCTTCTGGAATCCCATCTGGAAGGATCAATCTCTGGGAACTGTTTTCTCCTAAAATGCTTCTGAGCTTCACTGGAGTAGCCATGCCACGGCCGTCTGTGAAAGAGGGATGACAAAATTAGCCTACATGTTATACAGAACTTTTTTTTCAAGGGATGCACAAGGGTTAATCTTAATTTCAACAGAGCAATGAGAGGACAAAATAACCATTCAATGTTAAATCTGTTGGTTACCTCATATGTCTATGTGTCTTTTTAATGTCACCATTCTGAGAGGTCCAACAAAGTAGTCTGCCAAAGGATAGTCATCTGCCAGTTCCTCAAGCTCAATCAAAACAGTTTCTCTTGTTGGACTCAGCTCAAAGGCTCTGAAATGCTCCCTATACCACCCATAAAGCCTTCTCACCATGTGTTACGCCCTCTCAAGGGGGAAGAGAGGAACGACGCACACACCAGTTGGATTTGGTAAATAATTATAGGAGCTTTATTTTCACGGTAAACAATATGAGGTGCGAGCACACGGCCACCTATAAACAAAAGCCAAAACGGCGCAAGTCCAACAAAGGACTAAACAAAAGGAGGACTCTAACAAAACGGAGCCTGACTATGTATAAAAGGGGAGTTTTACAACAACGCAAATTAAAGAGGGGCTGTTCCAAAAACAGCTTCCAGAGCATATGCGGGCTCAGCAGAGTACAACCTAACACACACAGAACACACTGAATATACACACTAAACTAACACACTAATCTACACACTCTGACAGCAGTCAGGAACACAGTTAGCTCGTAGCGCTACAAAGTCACGGTAACCCAGTTGAGGCGTCTGCTCTACACAGCAGACCCTCCCGAATGAAGTGTGGCCGCTGACTTTAAGGTCCTCCTCCGGAAGGTGCGCCGAACGCTGAAGAGGGGTTGGAGGACGTCAATCCAATCGGCTCTTCAGTCCGGGGGCGGGACAGCCAATGTCACCTAAGGAGCTTCGCAGCTCATTTGCATACACACACACAGTTAACAGAGCAGAGGACTGTCGTCCGTAACACCATGAAACATAGTCTCTCCTGTACAATGCAAATCTGAAGAATCTCTCCAAAGTCAGGCAGTCCACTTGTAGACCCATGAGCCACTATCATCCCATTTCTGAATGTTACCCCTTTGCTTGACACACACTTTGTTAAGTGAACTTCAGTTGTACCAGGGAAGTTCTGGGCAATAGTCTGAGCTATTTCTTGTTTCAATACATCCAAAGGCACTGTTGAGACCTTTGTGATTTCCAGGGCAGCTTCATCAAAACTGGATGATACCAGTTGATAGGAAATCATTAGCTGATGCTTAGTAGCTAGCGAGAGGGGCACATTTTTAAAGCAATTGGTGTGTCGCGCAACCTGCTTAAAAAAAACTGTGCTTGGCCTCAAAACGCATGGTCCAGAGGCCCACAAGAGGACCAAACATCCTGATCAGTTGTGGATAGTGCTCCAGATAATGATGCTTTGGTAGCAGTCGCACATCAGGGAAGAGTTCTTGGTACTTTTGTCTGTGCTCTGAAATCTTGCCCTCAAGATAGGCAATTGACTCATCTGTTTGTCTTGGAGCAACCACAAGCTCTGCAATGTCTTTTAAGTCCAACAGTATTTGCCATGCAATTTCACCCTCAGGCACCAGATGCCCAATTATGAATGGGAGTAGTCTCAACAGAGCCCAATTTTCATGGGCATTCCCACCTATTGTTTTTCTTTTAGAAAATGTGTGTGGGATCACATGTGGCCTGTTTGTTTTGTCTGCCCACTTATAAGGGAACTGCAGGATAGATTTGTTGAGGGTTTCAAGATTGAAATATTTCTTAGATATTAGCAATGCCAAACAACGTGCAAGCTCTACTGGCACTAACCCCTCAAAAATATCATGCATAATATCTGGAGGATAACCCGTGTGAATACTGAAGTGGTCAAGAGATTGAGTGATGGAACAATGTCTTTTCACCCCAAAACAGCTTGCCCCATTCTCCTGCGCTGATTTCACATGAGAGTCATGGAGTTCTTTTGTCCTTAGACTGAATGCACCTGACTTTACCTCTTTTGTTTGAATGTCTGTACTTGTTGCTGTGCAAAATCGGCAGATATATCCACCAGAAAAGCTCTCATTGAAACCAGCTATACTGTGAGCTCCCAGGTTGTCTGCCGCAACAACCTGAATGGTGCCTTTAAGACATCTGCCAAGCAATGGAATGAAAACACCAACTTGTTCTAGAGTTATCATATCTTGAAGAAGAGGATGTAAGACACGGTCATAACCATACTTCTTCACATCATCAGTTTTACACAAGACCGCCAGGTAAATCGAGGATAGTGATGAATGTGAGCCTGGAGGCAAATTACTCAAAGTCCAGTAGATTCCACAAAGCTTATGCTTCTTGCGAGAAGTACCCAGAGGATTGCAAATCTCAAAGTCATCTATGTATATAGTCAACAAAATTCTCAAGTCATCCCCTGATAGAAAACCGTTTTCCTTGAAGTGTGAACCATCCTGGGAAGATTTGTAAGTCTGTTGTTCACCAGTCCCCCTATTACTCTGCTGCACTCTGTGGTTTTCAACCACTTTGTCTACAACATCTTTCCTCTGAAAGAGCTGCTGCAAAGACTTGAGTACAGGCACATACTGAAAACTCCTTTTTTCCTTGGCATCAAGTATGTACTCTATGGGTTCTACAACATTAAAGCTGTCTTTGTAATACTGATTGCGGAGATAAGATGTCCTTAGGGGACCACCCTTCCCTATGGCTTTGAGCAAAGGGTTTGATGCGCAGAGAGCAGTGGCTACTTCTGTTATCACAGACTTATCAGTTGTGGGACTATGTTTCTGAAATACACCTTCAAGAATGTCAATGGAGAGGGGCAATGTTGCTGAACTTAAGTAGTGCAGTTCTTCCAAAAACTCATCAATTTTTGTACCCGGCACATGTGCAAAATGCTCTAATTTGAGCAACGATGCAGCAAAGTTTTTCTCAATTACTTTGGAAGAGTTCTGAGTTACATCCACATCACTACTTGAACAAGCACTGTGTACTTCAACTGCAGAGTCATCTTGATTATGTGCGTATTCCACAGGATTATCAGAGGATTCTTGTGCAACTAGAGTGGTTCTAACTACACCTGGCTTGAAATCTTTCAACGTATGCGGTTTGTGTTTCCTGTTTTTGTGAGAGTGAAATGTTGCGTATATATTTGTTTCAAAACTGCAACCCACAAACATACAAGGAACAGTCTCATGACTCTTAAAATGAGTTCCAATGTGTACAAAATAATCCCTCTCCGTAGGAAGATCGCTCGAAGTGCACAAATGACAACTGAATATTGACAACTCCAGCTGCTCCTGAGAGTTTTGTTTGGGATGGGCTCTATTTAAATGAATGTGCAAAGCATTCCATGTCTTAAATGTACATGGGCAGTTTGTGTGTGGGCATGGATAGCGTTGCCTATGCCGGTGCTGTAGTCTAAAATGCTTTAGTAACTCATATCTACCAGAAAGAGATTCACTACACTCCTTACACCTCCACATTTGCCCACCAAAACAAAATCACCAGCAAAAAATAAAAAAAACATTTCAATCATGAACTTGAGAATGGCAGATGACACCTTTTACCTCACTGATGAAGTTGGATTGCAGACACAGGTACGGTTAGACAGGACACTCTTGCGGTCGGACAGCCGCCACAGGAACTTTTGCAGTCACAAATTGCTGTGAAAAATTGAGAGACCAATCAACATACATGAAAGTTAAGTTACACAGAGAACTCGCAATATTGCTGTCAATTAAGACTCATAAATTACATCTGCTTTTTTTTACACAGAACCTTATATCAGTGCCCTTATCAGACAGAAGTTGACGCATTACTTAGTCATATCCAAACCAATTCAACAGAGTTCTTCAATTTAAAAGACGGTGCATTTCTGTCTGAGTGTGGTGTACTTTTTCAAGATGTTTAGACAAATTGCTCTCTGCCGTGTGTGTGTGTGTGTGTGTGTGTGTGTGTGTGTGTGTGTGTGTGTGTGTGTGTGTGTGTGTGTGTGTGTATGTGTGTGTGTGTGTGTGTGTGTGTGTGTGTGTGTGTTGCATGTAGCAGCTGCGTGTGTAAACTGCGAAAACCACAGTGGCAGCTAGCTCCGCATGGCAGCTAGCTTGGCAGCTAATTTACGTGACGCAGCCGAATAACGGCGCAACATGCCTTTGTAAAAGGGGCTGATATTACTGACATATAAGCGCCTGGGGTAGCACACTTTCCATTTAACTTTCCCAGGGTAATGCTACCGTCATTTAGTTTTCAATCCTGATATCCTATATTTGAACCATCTCCCTAACTGGCAGTTACACAGACTAGCTAGTTAACAACGTTAGCTTTAGCATGTTCGTCGGCTCATTCGGCTTTTTAAGTGAGATAAAAAATAACACTAAATAACAAATGAACTATCAACGTTACCACAATATCGCTCATGGACTAGCAGTTGATGACATTTATTAACAGCTTCACAGTTAGATGACAATGTTTTCTGCTTACCTCCTCCAACTTTCGCCAACGGTCTTTCTTGTCTCAATGATCCTCTCTCGCGATGATGATGGTTACGTTTACGGTTATGCCCAAATATCGCGAGTGCACACAGGATGCAGGGGAAACCCTTTCCCGCCAGATCGCGGTCAAAATCAAACCATGGCAGAGTCTGGAAGTCATCCATGGAAGTGTCCAAGAGCAGTCAAGAATGTAGCGTGCCTTATTGTTCAAGCCGTGTTTGTTGTTTGACATCTTTACAACCGTGAACATTTAAAAGTAATAGACTGTTGGTATCCAGTTTATTGGTGGTTATACCGCCACCTTCTGCTCTGGAGTGGGAATCATATGTACCCTAATCCCTTTGTGTCAGTTTATCTCAACATGAATGAATCTAATAAATGTGAAGTTGTTGCGATTCATGCAAACCATACATGTTTTCATCACGTTCATCTTGGAAACATGAAATTATTACGTTGAAAATACATGTTACATTTTATTTGATGTAACAGCCAGCCAAAGTCCTTTTTTTGAGTGTATGAAAATCTGTCAAAGTGAGATTCCTCTGTGATGCTCAGGAGTGTTGGTTCAGACTTTATTCTGACTTCACTCTCCGTCTACATCTCTTTGGAACATTCAAGAAAATAATCAACAGATGATGAGATATTAATCTTTGCATGACATTTTTACGCATTATAATCAAAGAGTCAGTCAAAGACAAAAACAAACAACTTGATTGTTTATTGCTATAGTTTATTTTGCATCAAACTTTATTACAGTGTGTTTATAGTTTTAATTTGACTCATTTAATGATCGATGAATGTTCACATTTTTAATCCAAGAATCTTTAAATGGATGAATTTATTTTCTGTTTTTCTTTGTAATGGATGAAATGAGAATGTTTGATTAAGTTTTGTGTGAATTCTTGAAGAAATGTAAGAAGTCTGTATATCGTGCTGAAACTTCATGACATCAACCAAACTAAGAATCAAAGCTGTCAGTTCTCCTTTGATCTAGTTTCGAGTCAAACATCACGTTATAGCAGTATACGTTATCAGTTTAACTTCTAACTTCTCTTTCACTCGACTTCTCCTACTCCCAACTCTATGTCAGTAGAAGAGCTGGTCTGTTGCCTGTGTTATTAAAGTGACCGTTTACCGAACCCTTTGTGTACATTGCTAAGCTAATTTGACCTGTCTCGAGGACACGCTTTGTTTAGGAGTGAGAAACCCTCTTTTTGTTTGAACCTGTTCTTTTTGTTTACTGATAAGAGTAGGTGAGAAGCCTGTACTTTATTCCTTTTGGTTAGGCAAGTTTTAGAAAAATGTTATTGCTGCGCCTAGGTTCCCCTAGACCTGGGCCTAACATACATTTCTAATTCACCTAAAGGTAATTATAGCTGTACAAGTAAGTGTAGTATTTGTAGATATCTTGTGTTTAAATAAGCAGCAGTTTAATTCAGAAATGTGTCGATGAGGTTGTTTCTTCACGTACATCTGTCAAATAGCCATGTGACAAATTACAGAGAATATAAATGATGACAATTGTAAAAAATATAAATAAATAATCTTAATGATCTAATCTCTTCTTATTTAATGAATTGCATCCCTTCAAACATCTGTTTTAACCTTTACATTCATAGATGCCAAACTCATGAAATCTGTTTGCTTGTGTGAAGTCATGTGAAGGATGAACCTGCTGTAAACAAGAAGCTCCCACCCTGATGAAGGACACTCAGCAGAAAACATGTGAGGGGTAAAGCATGGCATACTGGAGCTGTGCAACGTGTTTGATTTGATGGAGTTGTTTTGATTCTCTCTTAGAAACTGTCAGGAGTCACATTCACATTATACAACTCCACTGCAGCATTATAACAAATACAAAGTAGCTTCAAAAGGAAAAAGAGTGATGCATTATTTATTCACTTTGATACTGTGTCTTCATTTGCTTCAAACCCAAATGATCCGGTTGTAGAAAAATAAGTAAGTAGAAGTACCAGAGTGTAGGAATACTCTGTTACAGTAAAGGTCCTGCATTACAAATGTTCCTCAAGTAAAAGTAGAAAAGTATTAGCATCAAAATATACTTAGTAGCAAAAGCAAAAGTACTTATGATGCAGATTGGCCTATTTCGGGAGTAATATAACATATTTTGAATATAATTTTTTATGCAAAAATATGTTTATCCTTGCATGAAGTAATTTTTATTTACTTTAGTGTAGTTTGTGAATTTAGCTTAGTACAGTACTTGAGTAAATGTACTTAGTTACTTTACACCACTGGTAATAAATCCACTCACCTTTAAAGCAGGGGTGGTTCTAGGGGGGGGGCAGGGTGGGCCAGTGCCCCCCTAACACTGCATTTGGACCCCCCTGTGGCCCCCCTGCAAAAGAAAAAAAAAGGTTTATGATTAAACGATTTCTTGGCTGACGGAATAGGTGGAACTAACGATATTTGTAATTCTAGTCGGACCCATTAGAGAGAGCACACCTTTATCTATTTCATATAGTTGTACAAAAATAAAGTAAGAAATCATTCCAATGTGTACTATAAGACAGAAAGTTAAACAAATTAAAAACAGTTTAAAAGGGGAGTGATTAGTAAAATATGCATAAATAAAAAGAAAGGATGCTAACTAGGTAACATAAGATAAGAATAAACAAGTTTAAATGATTTGTTATTGGTTGTAATCATATTCCAAAGATTTTTGGATTATTGAAAAGTATGCAGCTCCCTTTCATCTGAGTGTTGAGAGCTGTATCCATACATTCATTTTGTGCTCAAAGTGCACCAGATTGATGCATTTAACTTCAACATTTAAAAGCAAATCTTCCTGGGGGTGCATGCCCCCGGACCCCTAGAGGAGGTGAGGTCCACCCCCCAAATAAAGCAGGTTAAAATAATTTAATTTCATACATTTTCTTGACACTGAAAACGGGTCCCACAGACCCAAACAGCACACAACGTTTAAATGTAAGAATATAATAATGTTAAAATGTGCTAAATATATACACTGCAAAAAACAACAAAAGAGGAGTAAAAGTATCTCACGACTTGTTTTTTATTTTGAAAGTAGCTCTCATCCTAAAAAAGGTTGGAGACCCCTGCATTAGAGCGTAAAAACTGTAACTATAAATATCTGAAATAAATGTGTAATGAAACAAATACCAATAACTGTATTGCTTTGTTTTCTTATGCGCAATTACTTCATACTGTCTTTTTTGTCCTGCATTTATTGGGCCCCCCTCAGAAAATAACTGGCCCCAGCCTGGCCCCCCCAGTCAAATTGGTCTAGAACCGCCACTGCTTTAAAGGAACTTGCTTTCCTGAATGCACATTTTCCATAGATGATGGCATAACGCATGCTGCTTGAGTAGTAGTTTGGCTGGCTGAGAGATTAAGCAAGTTATACATTTTCTGTGAGTAAAAGTAGATTTCTGGCAAAACAGTCAATCATTATCCTGGTGATTATTTCGCAGATAAACCTATTAACCCCGCCCCCTTAAAAAACCCACGATCCGGCTCCTTTCAAAAAGCCGTAATTCCCATCACTACGAACATCTTTTTATTTTATATTTTAATATCTGTTTTTCATTTGTTCATATATGTATTTTGAGACCTGACGTCACAGTGGGCGTGTCTCCCTGCAGCTCTGCGTCACGCGGCACAGGTGCCTTCTTTCTTCTCTGCAGGAGAAACGGTCATGGCTTCGGGTTTCTGTGAGGATTGCTCCAGACTTCTGGAAGAATTCAACTTCCATCTGAGGAAAGTCTGCAGAGAGTTTGAGCGGAAAATAAAACCCATCTTCAGGGAGCTGTGTGAGTGCACGTGCTTCAGTGTCTCACCTGAGAGCAGTTACCTGAGGAGGAGGAAGAGGAGGAAGAGGAGTCTCTCTCTGAACGGTAAGAACACTTGTGGATTGTCTTTGTTCTGGACGACAAACACGCCTTTAGTGCTGCAATGTCCCCAAGAGCATTTACTGTATACTTGATATTAGATCAGATATACTTTTTTAAATCCAAATATTGGGAACGTTTTCTTTGTTATAGCATGGAAACAGGCATTGCACACTAAATACACACACGATAGAAAGATATCTATATCTATGGGGTATTTATGTAGAAATGCACAATGTAAAAATATACAAAAGTCAGAAAACACTATCTAACATACTAAAATCCAGCTTTGATAACACTTTAATGATCAATCATTATAACACAAATAATATATATAATATTCTGAAATGGACCAATCTGCACAATGACTACTTTTACTGTCGCTACTTTAACTATATTTTGATGATAATACTTTTCTGGTTGAGGAACATTTTGAATGCAGGACTTTTACTGTAACCGAGTATTCCCTACAGTACACTCTGGTACTTCTACTTTTACTCAAGTACCAGATCTGAGCACTTCTACTTTTACTCAAGTACCAGATCTGAGTACTTCTACTTTTACTCAAGTACTAGATCTGAGTACTACTACTTTTACTCAAGTACTAGATCTGAGTACTTCTACTTTTACTCAAGTACTAGATCTGAGTACTTCTACTTTTACTCAAGTACTAGATCTGAGTACTTCTACTTTTACTCAAGAACAAGATCTGAGTTCTTCTACTTTTACTCAAGTACCAGATCTGAGTACTTCTACTTTTACTCAAGTACTAGATCTGAGTACTTCTACTTTTACTCAAGTACTAGATCCGAGTACTTCTACTTTTACTCAAGTACCAGATCTGAGTACTTCTACTTTTACTCAAGTACAGGATCTGAGTACTTCTACTTTTACTCAAGTACTAGATCTGAGTACTTCTACTTTTACTCAAGTACTAGATCTGAGTACTTCTACTTTTACTCAAGTACCTAGATCTGAGTACTTCTACTTTTACTCAAGTACTAGATCTGAGTACTTCTACTTTTACTCAAGTACTAGATCTGAGTACTTCTACTTTTACTCAAGTACTAGATCTGAGTACTTCTACTTTTACTCAAGTACTAGATCTGAGTACTTCTACTTTTACTCAAGTACTAGATCTGAGTACTTGTCCCTCCTCTCTTCCTACAGATGAGGAACTTCAGCTCCATGAAGAGGAAAGTCTTCAGTCTCTGAGCCGACTCTCAGCTTCAGAGGACATTGAGCTGCAGAAGACAGCGGCCATGTTTTATCTACAGCTCAGTCATCACTGTGAGTAAAGAATCCAAACAGATTTGTATGTTGCTTCACTATCTTCTTCTTTATAGCAATGGTTTACAGATAAGTGGAGCAGGTAATGAGACGTGTGTTCGCTCTCCTCTGTAGAGATAAGCTCTAACGGACAGCGCGTTATTATGCAAATGATCAACTGTAATTTTCTTTCTAGGGTTGGCAGATAATTCCCTGCATGTGTGGCTTAAGTGCCGTTATTCACAGTACTACTATCCCAAAGCGCTGCTTCTTCACCCACAATAACCAGTGTTTCCTGCTCTGTGTGTTTCAGTGAACTCTCCTCTCCCAGACGCATTGTTGGAGCCGGTCATGAACTTACTGCTATCATCTGACCTGGATGTTCAGAAGACCATCTCTCTGTCTTTAGTCAATCTGTTAGTGAAGAACAACGGTGAGAGATACGAAATCACAAGGTGTTTTAAAAAGTCCTCTCTACTTTAAAGAGTCCTCTCCTGCTGATGTTCAGGTGTATATCAGTATGTACATGTAGAGTCTCTACTTTAAAGAGTCCTCTCCTGCTGATGTTCAGGTGTATATCAGTATGTGGTGTCTCTACTTTAAAGAGTCCTCTTCTGCTGATGTTCAGGTGTATATCAGTATGTAGTGTCTCTACTTTAAAGAGTCCTCTCCTGATGATGTTCAGGTGTATATCAGTATGTAGTGTCTCTACTTTAAAGAGTCCTCTCCTGCTGAGTTCAGGTGTATATCAGTATGTAGGTGTCTCTACTTTAAAGAGTCCTCTCTGCTGATGTTCAGGTGTATATCAGTGTGTCTCTACTTTAAAGAGTCCTCTCCTGCTGATGTTCAGGTGTATATCAGTATGTAGTGTCTCTACTTTAAAGAGTCCTCTCCTGCTGATGTTCAGGTGTATATCAGTATGTAGTGTCTCTACTTTAAAGAGTCCTCTCCTGCTGATGTTCAGGTGTATATCAGTATGTAGTGTCTCTACTTTAAAGAGTCCTCTCCTGCTGATGTTCAGGTGTATATCAGTATGTAGTGTCTCTACTTTAAAGAGTCCTCTCCTGCTGATGTTCAGGTGTATATCAGTATGTAGTGTCTCTACTTTAAAGAGTCCTCTCCTGCTGATGTTCAGGTGTATATCAGTATGTAGGTCTCTACTTTAAAGAGTCCTCTCCTGCTGATGTTCAGGTGTATATCAGTATGTAGTGTCTCTACTTTAAAGAGTCCTCTCCTGCTGATGTTCAGGTGTATATCAGTATGTAGTGTCTCTACTTTAAAGAGTCCTCTCCTGCTGATGTTCAGGTGTATATCAGTATGTAGTGTCTCTACTTTAAAGAGTCCTCTCCTGCTGATGTTCAGGTGTATATCAGTATGTGTCTCTACTTTAAAGAGTCCTCTCCTGCTGATGTTCAGGTGTATATCAGTATGTAGTGTCTCTACTTTAAAGAGTCCTCTCCTGCTGATGTTCAGTGTATATCAGTATGTGTCTCTACTTTAAAGAGTCCTCTCTCTGCTGATGTTCAGGTGTATATCAGTATGTAGTGTCTCTACTTTAAAGAGTCCTCTCCTGCTGATGTTCAGGTGTATATCAGTATGTGTCTCTACTTTAAAGAGTCCTCTCCTGCTGATGTTCAGGTGTATATCAGTATGTGTCTCTACTTTAAAGAGTCCTCTCCTGCTGATGTTCAGGTGTATATCAGTATGGTATGTGTCATCTACTTTAAAGAGTCCTCTCCTGCTGATGTTCAGGTGTATATTAGTATGTAGTGTCTCTACTTTAAAGAGTCCTCTCCTGCTGATGTTCAGGTGTATATCAGTATGTGTCTCTACTTTAAAGAGTCCTCTCCTGCTGATGTTCAGGTGTATATCAGTATGTAGTCTCTACTTTAAAGAGTCATCTCTGCTGATGTTCAGGTGTATATCAGTATGTAGGGTCTCTACTTTAAAGAGTCCTCTCCTGCTGATGTTCAGGTGTATATCAGTATGTAGTGTCCTCTACTTTAAAGAGTCCTCTCCTGCTGATGTTCAGGTGTATATCAGTATGTGTCTCTACTTTAAAGAGTCCTCTCCTACTGATGTTCAGGTGTATATCAGTATGTAGTGTCTCTACTTTAAAGAGTCCTCTCCTGCTGATGTTCAGGTGTATATCAGTATGTAGTGTCTCTACTTTAAAGAGTCCTCTTCCTGCTGATGTTCAGGTGTATATCAGTATGTAGTGTCTCTACTTTAAAGAGTCCTCTCCTGCTGATGTTCAGGTGTATATCAGTATGTAGTGTCTCTACTTTAAAGAGTCCTCTCCTGCTGATGTTCAGGTGTATATCAGTATGTAGTGTCTCTACTTTAAAGAGTCCTCTCCTGCTGATGTTCAGGTGTATATCAGTATGTAGTGTCTCTACTTTAAAGAGTCCTCTCCTGCTGATGTCAGGTGTATATCAGTATGTAGTGTCTCTACTTATAAAGAGTCCTCTCCTGCTGATGTTCAGGTGTATATCAGTATGTAGTGTCTCTACTTTAAAGAGTCCTCTCCTGCTGATGTTCAGGTGTATATCAGTATGTAGTGTCTCTACTTTAAAGAGTCCTCCTGGTGATGTTCAGGTGTATATCAGTATGTAGTGTCTCTACTTTAAAGAGTCCTCTCCTGCTGATGTTCAGGTGTATATCAGTATGTAGTGTCTCTACTTTAAAGAGTCCTCTCCTGCTGATGTTCAGTGTATATCAGTATGTAGTGTCTCTACTTTAAAGAGTCCTCTCCTGCTGATGTTCAGGTGTATATCAGTATGTAGTGTCTCTACTTTAAAGAGTCCTCTCCTGCTGATGTTCAGGTGTATATCAGTATGTAGTGTCTCTACTTTAAAGAGTCCTCTCCTGCTGATGTTCAGGTGTATATCAGTATGTTAGTGTCTCTACTTTAAAGAGTCCTCTCCTGCTGATGTTCAGGTGTATATCAGTATGTAGTGTCTCTACTTTAAAGAGTCCTCTCCTGCTGATGTTCAGGTGTATATCAGTATGTAGTGTCTCTACTTTAAAGAGTCCTCTCCTGCTGATGTTCAGGTGTATATCAGTATGTAGTGTCTCTACTTTAAAGAGTCCTCTCCTGCTGATGTTCAGGTGTATATCAGTATGTAGTGTCTCTACTTTAAAGAGTCCTCTCCTGCTGATGTTCAGGTGTATATCAGTATGTAGTGTCTCTACTTTAAAGAGTCCTCTCCTGCTGATGTTCAGGTGTATATCAGTATGTAGTGTCTCTACTTTTAAAGAGTCCTCTCCTGCTGATGTTCAGGTGTATATCAGTATGTAGTGTCTCTACTTTAAAGAGTCCTCTCCTGCTGATGTTCAGGTGTATATCAGTATGTAGTGTCTCTACTTTAAAGAGTCCTCTCCTGCTGATGTTCAGGTGTATATCAGTATGTAGTGTCTCTACTTTAAAGAGTCCTCTCCTGCTGATGTTCAGGTGTATATCAGTATGTAGTGTCTCTACTTTAAAGAGTCCTCTCCTGCTGATGTTCAGGTGTATATCAGTATGTAGTGTCTCTACTTTAAAGAGTCCTTCCTGCTGATGTTCAGGTGTATATCAGTATGTAGTGTCTCTACTTTAAAGAGTCCTCTCCTGCTGATGTTCAGGTGTATATCAGTATGTAGTGTCTGCTGATGTTCAGGTGTATATCAGTATGTAGTGTCTCTACTTTAAAGAGTCCTCTCCTGCTGATGTTCAGGTGTATATCAGTATGTAGTGTCTCTACTTTAAAGAGTCCTCTCCTGCTGATGTTCAGGTGTATATCAGTATGTAGTGTCTCTACTTTAAAGAGTCCTCTCCTGCTGATGTTCAGGTGTATATCAGTATGTAGTGTCTCTACTTTAAAGAGTCCTCTCCTGCTGATGTTCAGGTGTATATCAGTATGTAGTGTCTCTACTTTAAAGAGTCCTCTCCTGCTGATGTTCAGGTGTATATCAGTATGTAGTGTCTCTACTTTAAAGAGTCCTCTCCTGCTGATGTTCAGGTGTATATCAGTTAGTAGTGTATCTACTTTAAAGAGTCCTCTCCTGCTGATGTTCAGGTGTATATCAGTATGTAGTGTCTCTACTTTAAAGAGTCCTCTCCTGCTGATGTTCAGGTGTATATCAGTATGTAGTGTCTCTACTTTAAAGAGTCCTCTCCTGCTGATGTTCAGGTGTATATCAGTATGTAGTGTCTTACTTTAAAGAGTCCTCTCCTGCTGATGTTCAGGTGTATATCAGTATGTAGTGTCTCTACTTTAAAGAGTCCTCTCCTGCTGATGTTCAGGTGTATATCAGTATGTAGTGTCTCTACTTTAAGAGTCCTCTCCTGCTGATGTTCAGGTGTATATCAGTATGTAGTGTCTCTACTTTAAAGAGTCCTCTCCTGCTGATGTTCAGGTGTATATCAGTATGTAGTGTCTCTACTTTAAAGAGTCCTCTCCTGCTGATGTTCAGGTGTATATCAGTATGTAGTGTCTCTACTTTAAAGAGTCCTCTCCTGCTGATGTTCAGGTGTATATCAGTATGTAGTGTCTCTACTTTAAAGAGTCCTCTCCTGCTGATGTTCAGGTGTATATCAGTATGTAGTGTCTCTACTTTAAAGAGGTCCTCTCCTGCTGATGTTCAGGTGTATATCAGTATGTAGTGTCTCTACTTTAAAGAGTCCTCTCCTGCTGATGTTCAGGTGTATATCAGTATGTAGTGTCTCTACTTTAAAGAGTCCTCTCCTGCTGATGTTCAGGTGTATATCAGTATGTAGTGTCTCTACTTTAAAGAGTCCTCTCCTGCTGATGTTCAGGTGTATATCAGTATGTAGTGTCTCTACTTTAAAGAGTCCTCTCCTGCTGATGTTCAGGTGTATATCAGTATGTAGTGTCTCTACTTTAAAGAGTCCTCTCCTGCTGATGTTCAGGGTGTATATCAGTATGTAGTGTCTCTACTTTAAAGAGTCCTCTCCTGCTGATGTTCAGGTGTATATCAGTATGTAGTGTCTCTACTTTAAAGAGTCCTCTCCTGCTGATGTTCAGGTGTATATCAGTATGTAGTGTCTCTACTTTAAAGAGTCCTCTCCTGCTGATGTTCAGGTGTATATCAGTATGTAGTTGTCTCTACTTTAAAGAGTCCTCTCCTGCTGATGTTCAGGTGTATATCAGTATGTAGTGTCTCTACTTTAAAGAGTCCTCTCCTGCTGATGTTCAGGTGTGTATCAGTATGTAGTGTCTCTACTTTAAAGAGTCCTCTCCTGCTGATGTTCAGGTGTATATCAGTATGTAGTGTCTCTACTTTAAAGAGTCCTCTCCTGCTGATGTTCAGGTGTATATCAGTATGTAGTGTCTCTACTTTAAAGAGTCCTCTCCTGCTGATGTTCAGGTGTATATCAGTATGTAGTGTCTCTACTGTGACATGTCTGTCTCTGATTGGTTAGCTGGCTGGCTCTGTTGTTATTGGTCAACATCTTAGAGATGTCCCCCTCATGGAATCATGTTTTTAATATTGCTTTTTTAAATCTAATTGTTTTCCACAATCACATCTTAAACTGACCCGATGAATAGGGTCATAATAACCGTGCATTAACTCTGGTGTCAGTGTGCAGAGCCTCTGTGGTTGAGATGGGGATGCTGGCTCCGCTTCTGGATCTGATCCGGTCCGGAGACTCCAGCGCTCAGAGCCACTCCTGCGCCTGCGTCTGCCTCCTCGCCTCCTCAGGTGGGTGCAGAAGGATTTAAGGTCTTTCAATTGTTTAATAATTATTATTCTCTCGGTGTCTGGCTGTTACATATTTGTACAGATATCTTTATTGTGGGAAGCAGTATTTCAATCTCTCTGTCTGTACACACAAACTGAAAGATTGACAATAAAGTTCACTTTTTTTGGTGCAGAGTCGAACAGAGAGGCTGTCATGTTGGAGGGAGTGAAGCCTCTGCTGGCTTTAGCCAAATCCTACGACCCTCGAGAGCAGCAGGTGGCCTCCTGGGCTCTGCTGCACCTCACACACTCAGGTGGGTCACTTCCTTTAAAGGTCCCCTATTATACTGTTTTTCATCAATATATCACAGGTCTCAGATATATACAGAGCCTGTCTCTGATTGGCTGAAACACCAAACAGATCATTGTAGCATTACCCATAATCCCCTCTGTTTCCAAAGTGCTGATTCGCTGTCTGTTACTTCAGATGAAAATAAGGAGCCCCTCCCCACGCCCCTCTGAGAGACATTTAGTTACAAAGAACTCAATGGTGCTCTAGGAGGAGATTCAGGTGATAAGGGGGGGGGGGGGGGGTTACCTTGGTTGCTGATTTGGCTAATGGTTACACAAGAACAACACATCGTTATGACATCATAAAGTGGCCAAAATCTGATCAGCTCATTTCAGACAGGTTTTTTAGAAATGGATCAAAAAGAGAGAGAATCTTTGTTCCTGAAACTTCAGAGTCTCTTTCCACAGAGGGGACACATGTTGATGTAGAAGAGACATGAAGAAGAGGGGACACATGTTGATGTAGAAGAGACATGAAGAAGAGGGGACACATGTTGATGTAGAAGAGACATGAAGAAGAGGGGACACATGTTGATGTAGAAGAGACATGAAGAAGAGGGACACATGTTGATGTAGAAGAGACATGAAGAAGAGGGGACACATGTTGATGTAGAAGAGACATGAAGAAGAGGGGACACATGTTGATGTAGAAGAGACATGAAGAAGAGGGGACACATGTTGATGTAGAAGAGACATGAGAAGAGGGGACACATGTTGATGTAGAAGAGACATGAAGAAGAGGGGACACATGTGATGTAGAAGAGACATGAAGAAGAGGGGACACATGTTGATGTAGAAGAGACATGAAGAAGAGGGGACACATGTTGATGTAGAAGAGACATGAAGAAGAGGGGACACATGTTGATGTAGAAGAGACATGAAGAAGAGGGGACACATGTTGATGTAGAAGAGACATGAAGAAGAGGGGACACATGTTGATGTAGAAGAGACATGAAGAAGAGGGGACACATGTTGATGTAGAAGAGACATGAAGAAGAGGGGACACATGTTGATGTAGAAGAGACATGAAGAAGAGGGGACACATGTTGATGTAGAAGAGACATGAAGAAGAGGGGGACACATGTTGATGTAGAAGAGACATGAAGAAGAGGGGACACATGTTGATGTAGAAGAGACATGAAGAAGAGGGGACACATGTTGATGTAGAAGAGACATGAAGAAGAGGGGACACATGTTGATGTAGAAGAGACATGAAGAAGAGGGGACACATGTTGATGTAGAAGAGACATGAAGAAGAGGGGACACATGTTGATATAGAAGAGACATGAAGAAGAGGATTTTGCATAATAGGTGACCTTTTAATCCTCACAGATTTAACAAAAGCAGATGTGTTTTTCTGTTGTTGCTCCTCTCTCTCTCTCTCTCTCTCTCTCTCTCTCCAGATTGGTCCAGGAGGCTGCTGGGTGATGCGGGGGGGGTTCCCGGTTCTGGTTCTGCTGCTGCAGGGCTCAGACTCAGAGGTCCAGTTCTACAGCTGCTCCGCCCTCTGCAACATCTCTTCTGCTCGGGAGCTCCACCGGAAGCTGCTGAGCATCGGGAGTCACTTCCTGTTGAAGTCCCTGCTGACGCTCGCCTCCTCCTCCGTGCAAAAGGTAACGTTGAGTTTCTCCTTCCTGATTACAATTGGCAAGTCTTATGTATATCTGTAAATGATATACTATCATATGTATATACAGTATATTATAAGCCTATATTCCTGCTACTGCAACATGTTTATAAATGGTGTTTTGTTGTTGTTTAGAACTCGATGCAGGCGTGCAGATGCCTTCAGACTCTCTCACAGAATGGTACATATGTTCCCATTACACTTTGCTGATGCTTTTACCATTTAAATAACAATAAGTGCATGTAACCATGAAGATGCAAACTCAAAAAGTGTCTATACTAGATGTGAGAAAATGAATATAAATACATTTTTACCACTGAAGATAGTACTTTTTAACTAAAGTAACTTTTTTAATTTCCCATAATATGTGTATTTAGCGTGGACTGTGTGTTGTTGTGTGGAGTGTTTTTCCAGCAAGGCAAGTTTATTTATAAAGCACCTTTCAACACAAGGCAATTCAAAGCGCCCTCCAAAAAAACAAAACAAGCTAATATAGAATAACACAGATATTAAATACATGGATACAAGTTACAGTGCAGTGTAAGATATGAATAGTTCAATTATAAGCAGCGTCAAAAAGAAAAGTCTTCATCCTGGATTTAAAAGTACTCAGTGTTTCAGCAGACCTGCAGGTTTCTGGGAGTTTGTTCCAGATATTTGGAGCATAATAACTGAACTCCTCCATGTTTGGTTCTGACTCTGGGGACAGAAAAGTGCACCGTACTTTAACAACAAACTCCTCCTAGGGATTTTATCCAATCGTCTTCAAATCTTGACAGTAGCATCTCAAGACCTGGCAGATGAAAAGTTAGTGGCGCCCATTTTGACTCTCGCCTGATGGCTATGTGATCCCTTTCCATGGAAGGTGATTATCTCCTAACGCCAGCTGACAGGCTCCAAACGGCCCAAACGTCACATGATGGTTAATGCTTCGGCCCCGAACAGCTCATCTCCAAATCTGAGGGGCCGAAACACGATATTGCTGTGACACCAATGGTGTCAACAGTCTTTACGTTTGGTGTCAATCATGATGAAGTCCAAGCTCTGTAACATGAATGGCATGTCCCCCAAAGAGTTTATGGAAATCAGAAACAGTCATAATTGTCTTTGATAAACTGTGTAGCCATAATAGAGGCACTCAGAGACTTAATGTCCCCTTTAAACCCACCGTATGTAATCCCACAGCCGTGACCGCATACAATAATGTACTGTATTATAAACACTTTGTAATCTAGAGCCTTGGCTATTAATCATAATATTATAATATCATATTTTCCAGTGTTCCCTAAGTGATATACTTAAGTAGAAAATAAAAGTACTTAAGTATTTCCATCTTATTTATACTTTTCTAAATCACTTCATCTCACAGGTCAATATTTTACTTTTTACTCAGTTACGTTTTTCTTACCGCTTTAGTGACTTCTTTTAGATATACTGTACACTTTGTACTAACCCTAACCGTAACCCTATCATAACATAATTAGGTGATTTTAAATGTGAGTTTTCATTAACTTGTGTCTGTTATTGGGTTTAGAAATCTTCCTACTTCTCAAGATAAATAAACTATTTGTTAGTGAAACCCTGACAGCGAGGATTTTTTACCAAAGTTTTGCAGATAATAATTACGCATTTCTATTTAAGTGAGGTTTTAAATGTTTGTGTTGTTGAATTAAAAGCACATCATATAAGGCATATATACATTTTCAGTTTTTATTTGACTCTATTGAGGTGAGTGGCACCATGTTTCAGTCAATACAATTACATGTTCCGCTCTTCACCTACACATTCTGAGTATTACAGTCCCAGAATATTTGACCAGCTTGTATGAACACATTTAAAAAATATAAACATATATAATGGAATTGAATGTGTACAGTGAGACAAATATAAAAACACAATTTTATATTTCATACCATGGGTTGTTTTATTTATGAAAGTGTTGATTAAACATACAATGGCTAAATAGAAGTACTTTAGTAACAAAAATGTGATACAGTAAATCATGTATACTGTATATGTTTACACAGTGAGGCACACGCGTACAAAAATAGATTTGAATTTTTATTTTATTTTAAAATCAAATCTTTCTAATCCTAATTTTAATCCTAATTGTATCAGGAAAATTAGTTGCGGGCGAACCTGAGCTCCAGGAGAAAACCCAAAAGTGGAAGCGGGGTACGGTGGCCCTGAAGTGCAAGTCAAAACAACATTTCACAAAACACTTCAACATTTCACATTTTACGGAAAGGGTATTCCTTTAGGGAGAACACTTCTTGTTTGTGATTGGACAGAGCCAGCCAGAGAAGAACTGCTGTGATTGGTTGTTTTTGCTGCCAGTCAAGAAATGACGCTTCGTGATTGGTCAGCACCCGGCCGACAGCACCACGTACTTCCTGTTTGGTACTGTTCAGCTGTTTCTTCACGAATTGTAAACTGAGTTGGAAAGAATGGAAGAAGAGATGGAACGAAGGATATACATACGATGTTATCCTCGACATGCTGTCAACCCATCACGACATCTACATGTCCCTTAGAACCAGGGGTGTAGTGCTGCCGGATCGCCGCTCCGGTTGTTAGCATCTGGTTAGCTAGCTATGCCAACGTACATAAGGAGTTGTTTCTACAACAAGGTGGAGGAGAGTCCTCTCCTGTCAGACTGAGAGGATCTTATAACTACAGCTCAGTAATAATAATAATAATAATATTAATAATAATAATACATTTGATTTATATAGCACACTTTAAACATAAAAGGATCAAATAAATAAAGTCAGTGAGGTGTCCTCAGTCCTAACTCTTTAAACCGCGCTTTCAGGGTTCTAAGCAGGGGTGTAGTGCTATTTTTATAATTGCAGGAGCGCACCTAGACCAACAAAACAGCAACATATGGACATAGGTTACTATATCAAAAGTGTGCAAATGTATTTAGAATCCTGTCCATGTGACCCTTTTGTTAGTGGGTGGTGGACCTCACATCCTCTAGGGGGGTCCGGGGGCATGCTCCCCCGGGAAGATGATTTTTTAAAAGTTAAAGTTAAATTCAATCTGGTGCACTTTGAGAGCAAAGTTAGGGACTACATCTATGGATACATCTCTCAACAACACCCATGTGAAACAGTACTGTAACCAGAAGTACTTTTCTTTAAGCATATCTTACTAATCACTCCCCTTTTAAACTGTATTTGAGTTTTACTGTCCTATAGAATGAGTTGGAATTATTTCATACCTATTTTTATTTATTCTCTTATTTTTTATAATGATAATAAAAAGGTGTGCTTTGGAAATACTTGTTTACATAAATGGTGACCAAACCGTTTGAGACCCACTGAGATAGCTTAGACTAAAGTTATCTATCTAAACACTCAGAGAGTCCTTTAGCTCACTGAGCTGTAGTTATAAGATCCTCTCAGTCTGACAGGAGAGGACTCTCCTCCACCTTGTTGTAGAAACAACTGCTTATGTACGTTAGCATAGCTAGCTAACCAGATGCTAACAACCGGTAAAGCGGTGCTCCGGCAGCTGTGACTACCTGATTTGCATCTCTGCCCGATTTGCATTGCGCAAGCGCAAGATGGTCCGCTATATTAGACAGCTACATATGGCAACCCAAATAGGACATTTGTTTCGCAAAGCAGACATTTTTTTTCCAAAAAACCCGACAACATTAATCTGAACGAGAGAGAGAGTTATTGTTATTACAACGTGACTTCACTATTATTTAACAAATACTTTTATTGGGTTGATTACATTCTTGGAATAAGTGAGAAATTGATTTATCTTCTGTTAGACAGTTATCATACTGAAGAAATATTTACTGTGAATGTATGCAAAAATGTTTGGCATTAATAATTTATATGTAATTACATTAACTATGAATGTTAACATTTTATTTCAAATTAAATAAAATTACATAAAAGATTTTCCATAAAAAAAAAAAAGTTGATTCAAGAACACATCTCTGTTAGATCAGTAGTTTTCTTATATTACAATTATTGCTAAATTTGAAAGGTCTTTACCAGCTTTGGAATTATATATATATATCGTTGAGATTAATGTTGTCAGGTTTTTTTAGTTTTCTTTTTCTGCTTTGCCAAACGCCACTGTCAAGTGTCCTATTTGGGTTGCCGTATGTAGCTGTCCAATATGGCGGACCATCTCGCGCTTGCGCAATGCAAATCGGGCAAAGATGCAAATGGGGTAGTCACAAGCACTACACCCCTGGTTCTAAGGGACATGTAGATGTCGTGATGGGTTGACAGCATGTCGAGGATAACATCGTATGTATATCCTTCGTTCCATCTCTTCTTCCATTCTTTCCAACTCAGTTTACAATTCGTGAAGAAACAGCTGACCAGTACCAAACAGGAAATACGTGGTGCTGTCGGCCGGGTGCTGACCAATCACGAAGCGTCATTTCTTGACTGGCAGCAAAAACATCCAATCACAGCAGTGCTTCTCTGGCTGGCTCTGTCCAATCACAAACAACAAGTGTTCTCCTTAAAGGAATACCCGTTCTGTAAAATGTGAAATGCTGTAGTGTTTTCTGAAATGTTGTTTCGACTTGCACTTCAGGAACACTGTATGCGGGGGAAGATCCAACAATACATTACATTTATATAGCGCTTTTCTTGAATTCAAAGACGCTTTGGAGGGTGGAGTGAGGTGAGGGAAATGGAGGAGGGACTTATTGTTGATGTGTTTTTTTTAATCCTTATTAATATGGATTTCTGGAAAACCTGAGCTCCAGGAGAAAACCCTATCTGAGCAAAAAGTGAAGGAGGGGGTGAGGAAGGAGGTGAGGGAAATGGAGGCAGGGAGTTACTGTTGTCCAGCTGGAGCTGAATCACCAGAAGCTTTCTCCATCTTCTCTGAGGTGGTGTTTCTCGTGCCTTTGGCTTTCTTCCTCATCTCCTTCTCTTGCATCTTGCTTATCATTTTCTGCAAGGCAACGTCTCTATCCTCAGTCTCCCCCCTTCTGTGAGAGAA